CTACTGAGCTAGCCCGTGTCAGACTCTCTGCGAGCTACTAGCGGGAGACCACGAGTAACGCATACTAATAGCAGCCCAGCCCATCAATTAGCGGATACCGCGCATCCCAGTTCGCCGAGGGTTTGCACTTTAGTGCTTTTCATTGGGTCTGTCTGTCTGTCTGTCGATCTGTGTGTGTGTTGTCTGTTACTCGTCATCTCACTTCTCGAGTGTTCGTTCGTTCACAAAGATACCACCTACTGAACGCGGCAATGAGGTCAGAAAATATGTGTGGTTCGCTGAAAACGCTCCGTTGCAAAGCTAGAGCGCGAAAAAGCCAATATGCAAATACACAACGGCTTACTACGGCATGATCGATCCGCGTGCTCTACGTACCTCGGAGGCACCAGAAGATGCAACGCAGGGCGTGTATCGCCTCTCGCATGCTATCTAGTAGTGTAGTTAGCCCGCGTCAGACTCTGCGCGAGCTGGCAAGAGACCACGGGTAACAGCTAAAACTAAACCCAGCCCAGCAATTAGTAGTACGGCGCATGCGTTTACTTACGCGTGCGCGTCACAGTACGCCGAGGGTTTGCACTTCAGTGCTTTTCATTGTACAATCATTGCACATATCATGATGATGACTCTATAATTGTATGTATATCAGCCTCTGATAATTTTATATGCCTACTTATATATAATAATGTGGGTAGGATTAGCTAGTCAAGGTCGGCGAATCGCTTGCACTGCTGCATCGAGAATCGGTAGAACGGCGTCAGCAAACCTGTGATGACCCGCGACCCGTCCCGACTGCAGCTTTCCGCCGCGACCAAGTTGTGCGGACCACAGTAGTTCAAACCGTCGGCCGACGCCAGAGTCGCGCACAGCCGCAGTTTCCGCAGCGACTCTGTCGTGGAGGATGAAGCGTTGATGCATTCACTGCTGCTGGGAGCCATCTCCGTGCGGTGATGATGATACTCGAAGTGGAAGCGGCCGCCGGGCGAGTGCAGGTCCGAGTTTGGCTCCGTCACCATCGTCAAAACTGTGGCATTGCTGGGTCCCTGAGGCGCAAAAACACAAGTATACGGATCGACTCTGGCTTAGCTAGGTAGCTACCTAGCTAGCTATAGTTGCTAACTAGTCTACCCCAAATTGTCCCACTTTTGCATTATAGCTCTACGACCAAAGCTAGCGCTACGTAGCTATAATTATAATAATAATAATAATACCTCAGATGTTTCCAGGATAAGTGAAGTTGGGTCGAGTCTGTAGTAGGTCCGCTCCCATACGTTGGGCGCCGATCGAGTGGCGGAGAACAGCTTCACTTTATTACTGAACACTCCGTTGTCGGTGCCTGTCTGCAGCTCAGCAAAGAACGGGAACACCTCTGCAAATAGTCGAAAAAAACGCGCTTACGCATGCGCATAATGTTCGCGTGACGCACGGCGCTGCGCGGCAAAATCAAAATGCGATGTCTAACCTGCCAGAGGAGCCGTAGTCGGTTCGTCGCAGGAGAAAACGGCTGCCGACGAAGATCCAGATGCGTCCATGTCCGGTCGACGGAAAAGCTGCGTGTGGCACGTGATCCGCCGGCCGACAAACACTTTTTGCGTAAAGAACGAGAGAACTAGGGGAATATACACTGCCACTGCAGCCGAGCCCACCATGGTATAATTATAGCAAAAGATTTATTCTGCAGCTCAAGTTTTTCGCGCTGTTGTTTTTTGTTGTGTGAAGAGACGAGGAGTTGCCATTTTATAACAGTGGCAACAGTGCATTTATGTAGATGCACCGATAGTCTCGGCGCAAGTGCAAGTAAGCAGTTAGCTTCCGGTGAGCTTAGCCAACGCTCTGCAATCGCTGCGCGCGCACGAGATAATCCCGCGCTTTGGCCGTATAACACAGTGTGCTACGGAAAACGACACTACCACTCAAAGACCTAGAGCTGTGGTGTTTGGGCCAGAAATGGCGCAAGAAATGGAAACGGAAGTCGAACGTCTTCGGGGAGAGGTTGTTCGACTTCAGCAGCGCGTCCTGGCTCAACAAATGGAGCTTGACAACCTCAAGAACCAGTCGGGACCCGCCGACCACGCCCACGAGAGGGGCAGCAACAACGTGGATGATTTGGGCGGGGCAGACCTGCTCTGGAGGGCGTGTCCACCTCTGAAGTGCAGTGTGGTGAGACCACACCTAGTTACGCTCGGCGACACGATCTACGTGGGCGGAGGAAACACTCCGAACCAGGAAATGTGTCGGCGGGTTCACAAACTCGTTCCCGGAGCTGACAAGTGGGAGAGTCTGCCCATCACCCCCTACCTCACTTTCGCCCTCGCTGGCGTCAACGGCCACCCGACGGTAAATGGATCTGCTACTTCTTCCTCAGCACTATAGGGAGTGACATCTCCAACAAGAGGACCCTCTGAATAAAGGACACTCAGTTCTATATAGTTACTGTATACAGCGGAACCTACGAAAACGGACACTATGGGACCAATGATTTTGTCCCTTGTAGAGAGGTACAGTAGTAATACACTAATAATTATTAGCATGGGGTTTAAACAAGTGTCCTTTGCGTTTAGAGAGGTTGTCCCTATCTCAGAGGGTCCGTTATCGGGTTCCACTGTATACCTTTGACTAAGAGATGCCGCTGAATAAAGGGCACTTGATGTCCCCAAAGGTTTGTGCCTGATTCACAGTATCTGCCTCTCTGTTGTCTTATCCGACATCTCAGGTAATTGGAGGGGTTAACATTATTTCATCGCTAACGAGTGCTGACCTACTTCACTTTGACGCAGACGTGAACAAGTGGAAGAAGACGCTGCCGCCTATGCCTACAAGGAGACGTGCGGCTTCTGCAACGACGCTGCGAAATAACTTGGTAGTCGCGGGAGGCATACACGAGGAGGACGGTAAATCATACCTCAGTACCGTTGAGGTGCTGGATACGGAAAAACAACTGTGGAGCCGTGTCTGCTCACTCCCTAAGCCGACGAATTTTATGTCCATGACATCGTGCGAGTTGACCGACAGGATTTACCTGTTGGGAGGACTCTCCAAACAGGGCTCGATACGCTCGGTTTTCAGCTGCGTTTTTACAGACCTTCTCAACTCTGCGTCCCCCTCCTCCGACGGCGAAACGACCAGAGATGCCAAATCCGAACCGGACAGCAGAGTATGGGAAGACATTGCCCAGACTCCGTACCACAGGATGGGCTGTATCACCATCAGTGGACGGCTAGTGGTCGCCAGTGGTCTCGACAAAGGGAACCAAGCTACCAGACCGGTCTATGTCCTCGACCCGATCTCACGAAAGTGGGAGACTGTCGGAGAAATGGCTGCTGCACGAAGTTCTTGTTCGCTGGTGTCGCGAGGCAGAGGTAGACTGATGGTGGTTGGTGGGTACATTGACCCACGACACTGGATAGCTTCCCTGACAACTGACGTAATGGAGTGCATCAACCTGAAACTTGAATAGCTGAATCACAAGACTATTTTCTCATCACTGGCAAGGAAAAGCTAGCCTACCTGATGGCACAATTGTTTGTATGTATGTAGATGGCTATGTATGTGAAATTTACATTTGCATTCACTTGCCAGTCATTCTAGTGTCAGACTACGTAAACCGGAGATTAAAACCCTTTGGACGCCATGAAGATATCTGCTTAAATAAGCTGTATAAATTATTAGCACCTAGTACTATGGATTTATGGAGGTTCTGGGCTCTGGACACATGTGTGTGCTGGTTAAGTGATAATATGCAGGCCAGGAGAGAGAGAAAGAACCAACATCTGCCGGGATTTGAACAGATATGCAGTGCACTAACGCTTGAGCAGGCAATCAATCTGCGAGGTACCAAACGCAGACTGCGTTTTGTTTTGCAATAGGAGGGGTAAATCCAGCCTTTGCTACCTATTGCTATCAGCTCGGTATTGGAACCTAAACTTACATCTAACAGCATGCGATGGATGGTCACAGATTATGTCTGCACATGTATGTAGGCTTCCATCACTTGCGTATTTATACTGCACTTACTGAGAATGCACTGGTTACTGGTTACTAGTGTCATCATATTCAGGCCTTCCCCCCCATGTGTGTATGTTTATACTCAGCGTTATGTATCAATTACCTCGCCGAGCACGAATGTATATATATCAAAGTCGGTCTAAATCGCCTGCTACATAGCTGTCGTAAAGATACATTGCATGTGGAATGATAAAATATGGGCTCTCGCACGACATCATAGAGTATAGAGATCCAACACTTCCAAAACATACACACTTCCTTGATTGCAAGTACTGGGGAAGCCATTTTTATGCAATCTTACGGGGGGTTTTTTACGATAGTAAACATTCGTATAGCAAATTTTTGGGACACAAAAATTAATATTAAATACACACTCACAGAATGAATTGGGTTCTATGTAAGTGTGACTATTGCATGGTTGAAAAGCCTTGCTTTACTCGCTCCCAAGTATCCTTGCCCTGTACGTGTGTGGGTGTGTTTGAAGAAGAGTTCCATTACTCTTTATACGGCAAAAAAAATTAATACTCATGCATGGGGCAGCCATAGAGCACCAGGACCATGCACCAAAAGAGAGAGCGTGTGTTATTGCGGTTCAGGTGTTGGGTAACTAAGAAAGGGGATTTACTATACGACACCGGTAGAAAAACAGAAGGTATATTTGTGCGGGAAATATCGATATTCTGAGGAGATATGTCAACTGATCTATTACAGAAAGGAAACCTACACTTTGTCACTTTACTGTCTCTGTGGCAAGTTATGATTGGTACCTGCTGAATAGCTATGAGCAACTATTCAGTAATCGGTTACTGTTGTTGCTCATAGCTATTAATTCAGTGGATACCGATCATAACTTGCATGTCACAGAGACAGTAAAGTATAAAGTAACAAAACTACCACTTCCACTTTGCGTAGGTTTCCTTGAAATATTTCGTGTAATATCAGTTGACATATATACTCCCCAGGATATCGATATGTCCTGCATATCTGTTGTTCTACTACGGTAACCCTTATGAATGCAATCGGATGTAAACATTACATCACATGTAGATACGCATAATATACAAGTTGAACCCATTTAATCTGGACACCACTGGGGTGTCATAGAATAATGCAAGAACAGTTCTGGGGAAAGAGATGTCCTCATTTCGGGGGTGTCATTTGAGAGGGGTTCCACTGTATACTACCTCGTATACGTATATATGCATACATATGTACATACCTTCCTATGCACGTGCATCTGAAGTTGGATAAAGTTGATCAGAATGCTCTTAAAGTCAGCGGTCTTCTGCTCATGGAACCTCTTCAGCTCCTCCAGTGCCTCCGTCGTGAACAACCTCGCGGGGATAGAAAAATACCAGTTCCGATCAAACGAGGGTTAACAAGAAGGTAAAATTTTTGAAGGATCAAAAGGTAAAATTTGAGGAATCAAATTTTGTGGTTTCAGAGACACCTGTAACGTTTTTCTACGCAAATTTTGTTGAAGGGTATTGTACAAAAGTGTCCATATTATTAGTGAGGTGTCCTGTTAAGGTGTCATAAATTGAGTTGGTTCTTCATATAAGTCTAAGTTTTGAGTCACGAAATCTGCTGGTCAGCATTTTTCATTGTTCTTAGCTCGTAACCCGTGTTCATAACCTGTTTTTCTTATGGCATACTATGGATTGGGTAACCAACAACAAATTTCGTGACTCAAAACTTAGTCTTATATGAAGTAACAAGGATAAATTGGGTTGCCTTATATATTTAATACACCCACTAAGGCCGTAGTATAATACTAACTGTAATTCTTTCTGAGTTATCCTGACAGTCTCCTCTGCCTCCAGCAGTTCTCGGGAAGCCACGGCCAGCCTCCCCTCGTACGAACCGTCGACTCCTCTCAGTCTGTTGGATATGGCCCTCAGCGAGAACCTCCCTCCCCCGCCGGTGGGCGTGGTACCAGTGGGCGGAGCTCCAGCTTGCTCCACCCCTGACGGAAGACCCTGTGTGGAATGGTATCCAACATGTGCCTATGGTACACTTCGTTTCGCAGGTTTGACTACAGTGGAACCCCTACAATCTGGACACCATTGAGACAAAAGAAAAATTAGTCAGGTGTCCATAATAATTATTTCAAGCATTAAATTGCATGCAAGAACTGAAGTTCTCGGGGAAAGAAAAGTCTTCATTTCAGGTGTGTCTTTTCCCCCATTGTATATAGACTCTACTGGTACATGATATTATACAGTAGAAGTCAAAAAAACGTTTCCAAAATCGTTCACCGTTCAACCGTTGAACGGCGTTCACCGTTCACCGTTCATCCGTTTCCGACGGAACGGCGTTTCACCGTTCATCCGTTGACCGTTCGTGTTCGCGGCTACGCAACCCGCGATGCGCGCTAAAAGCTATCGACGAATTCACCACGGCGGAAGTCTAGCACCGAAATCGACGGTTACTTTTGGCAACTTTTGATGCCGTGGCCTTTGCCAAGGCTTAGGCTGTGGTAAAAGCGCGCCTCGCTACTTCAGGATAACTAGAAAAAGTGGGAGTGGCACACGCGCGGATAATTGTCGAACGGTCTGAACGGTGAACGGCTGAACGGTGAACGGCGTTTCTCCGTTTCCGTTTTCCGTTTTCCGTTTTTCCGTTCGAACGCCGTTCAACGGTTGAACGGTGAACGATTTTGGAAACTTTTTTTTGACTTCTACTGTAGCTACACCTCTCTCTGAACGGTGGCTTTGGTTTCAGATTTGGTGGACAGCGCGCTCTCTGCTCTCTCCAGCCTCTTCTCCAGAATATCGTGTCTCTTTACCATACCTCTGTTGGTGGGCATCAATTAGAGAGACACGGTACATATATATACTATGGAGGGGGTTGAATATACACAGTTAAGTGTTTATGTCAAACGAAAAATAAGGGTAACATGCACAATATTATTAAAACCCTCTGAATATAAATATTATTCCAACCTGAGAGATTCACAGTAGGCCAGGTACTCTTTCAGTGGCATGTAGTAGCGCGACTCCTCTTCGTCGAGATACATCTCAACTGAATCTGCGTAACTATTTATAAGAGAGTGCACGTTACAGCATTACACTGTGGTGTACTTTATAGCGTTGTGTTGTATGTACTGCATACTATTGTATAGCGTTTTTCTCTGTTAGTGCATGAAAAAGATCCTATGCAGTGCGCCAAGGTACAACAGCAATTGGACATCTTATATACTTGAAACGGAATTCAACCAAACAAAGTTAACCAACACCCAACAGGGTCCTCCCATACATTAATATGTATACATACCTGTCCATGGAACCACCAGTGACTTGAAGAGCGGTTCCAATCGTATCCTCAATCTCGGACCACTCGCTGTATCAATGGTTGAAAGTTAGACTGATACTTATATATATATTACAGTATGGTGCTATGTATGTATGTGTACCTAAACACTCGTCCATAGTTTGTATGGATCTTATACACCGCCTTGACACTTTCATTGACCTTCTGTTGGGCGGAATAAAACATGATAATAGATACATACACATCACACACTGTATAAGCAACACTTGCAACACAATCGCTATAAAAATCTTTCTAGAAAGCTCGCAAATAATGGTGAACCAGCTATTCCGGCTTGCTATATAAACCATATTAAAAAATGCTACGAATTAAGCAAGAGTGGCTGCAACGAAGGCTTTGTTTTATATACTTCTCTGATCTCAAGTAGAGATTTGAAGACAGCCTCCAACTCCTCAGCATACTCTCTCACATCGTGAAACCTCCTGCAGCAAAGGAGAGAGATAAACTAGACACAAGGAGAGATGGAGTAAGGGCGGTCGAGATTAAGATGAGGAAGATGAGAAGGAATGGAAGACAGGTGAGGAGGGGTGAGAAGGGGCGAGAAAGGGAGAAAGAGATCAATTTTCAAGTCTTACTGGTCTCCCTTCTGTTTCGATAGCAGTGAAAGTGTCTTGAGAAGCATGTCAGACTGAACGGAATAAACTGACAGTTGACACTGTATTATTGGACAGTGGAGTCTCAAACCTTTTGCAAGTATCCAGTTCTTTGCACTGCTTCTCTCCACCCAATCTATACAATCGGAGGTTTTGGGTAATGGATAACCTGTTATTCGCTGTCCCTTCACCCCCCCCTCCCCTTCCTCACAAAATTGCGTTTAAATGGTTTGCATTTTTTGCAGGAGCGTGAGTAAACATAATGACCAACCAACCACCTTTAATACTTTGACTATAGTTGGAGGGTGGAATAGCAACTATCTCATTGTACCAGCTCCTAACCTTCTTCGCCCCAATAAGGGTGTCAACGATTTTGCATTTTTTGCAGGAACGCCGTTAAAGGAAATGACAAACCAACCATCCCTAATACTTCGACTATACCTGGAGGGTGGAATACCAACACTATCTCGCTGTACCTACACCTATGTATATATTTTGCTATTTCGTCCCTTTAACTTCTTACTCAGGTATATATATTCAAATTTTGAAACTCACTCACATTCTCGAGGAACTGATGAAACCAGTAGCTCTGGCACAGCACCGGATGTCGCGACAGACGCACCAGAAATATCTGCAGGTCCCCCAAAATGCAGTCACAGCACAATACACAGTCAGCTAGAGAGACGATTCTTTACACATTTGAATGCACATCTAGTAGACATGGAACATGCCGAATAAGGCATACTTTTTTCCTGTTTTTTATACACAAAAGAGATATATATGTAGGTAAGCTAGTAGTATAGAATTGAGGCAATAAATTGCGACAACTTGACTGCAGGTCAGCGTTCGTAAATTTTAAGTCGTCCTGAAATGTTTACTTTACAATATTGATGGAGTCACATGATTATGCATGTGGACATGTATACTTCATTCCCTCGAGATTATGCATATATAATGTGGAGACTGCTGTACTATTCACCTCGAGAGCATGTTGGCGTTTGATGAGAAAGTCAGAGTCTTCTCCGGAAAATGTGATCTTGTTCAACAGTCCAGAGCTGCCCTTGATCTTCATACATAACAATACAGGGAGGTATCATTATAATATACGTCTCTATATAGGATCTACCTAGTATCATATATAGCACACCCTATCATGATAGGTGATATATACCACTGTATGGCTGGGAAGTTTCGAGAGCAAAATTTGATAGAAAATACGAATTTAGCGAGTAAATTTTTTGCTGATTATATTATACTAATATTTTACGTGTGGCTAAAACAGTGCACTGTTTTATCCCTCGAAATTTCCTGCTACGGCACATTTTCATAGTTAACGAAAAAGTAACTCACAGCCTTTTCTGGCAGTGGTGGCACTACAACCTGCAGTGTATGGATAAATGACAGTGTTGTAGTGTTAACAATGGTGCATATGCTATTAATGTTAAAGTACTACAGGAGACAATGGTTGCAGTGTGTATGTGCACAGAGAAGTACAAGACGACTCAATAATAATTGTCTAGGGGGCTTTTTGTGATAGTTCTATGCAATTGAGAGAAGAGAAGGGAGAAAAGGGAGGACGAGTGTGTAAAAAGGGACAAGGGAGAGAGAGGAGGAGAGGGAGGAGAAGAAGAGAGAGAGAGCAAGTGTGTGAGAAGGAAACGGAGATTGTGCGAGCTCACGTAAGGGTACACGGTGCAGAGAAAGTTCCAGAGAATCTCAAACTCGCTGTAGCGTCTCCAGACCTCCTGCCGCTTCTTCTTCGTCTCGTCCAGAGTGTGAGTGGCAGCCGCTTCGCCCTCTGGTATCTCCTCACTCGTAAGACTGCAGTGCGTGAAGAGCAATATCAACGCTAGTCTTCCGTATTCTTCCCGGATACCGTTAGGATATTCCTCTCCGGACACTCTTAGGATATTCTACGATACTTTCTACTGATACTTATATATATAAGGGGCGGCATGCTGAACTGACATGGAGACGATGCGGTAGGCGAAGTACTCCTCGCGAGGGAAACCTCCGCCCGTCTTCTTCTCGTACGTCTTTATGGAGATGTTGACAAAGTGCATGTCGGTTACCACTCGGTGGTAGCCCGGCTTGGGAGCTTCCGAGTCGCTCTTCGCTCCGCTCTCGCCTTCTTCTGACATTGTGGAAAGCCCAAAACGAAAAGACAAACCGCGGACAACTGAACAGGCACACTTTACAAAGAAATGCCGAGTCAGCAAAAACGCCTGCCGTGCAGATTACACCTTTGACCTTTGGGGAGCTTAAAAATGGCGATTTTTCTCGGCGGTTTATATCGCGCCTCGGCGGCACTAGCCGCGCGGTCGGCGTTAGTGAGTAGGTGTGCGAGCACTACTTTTGGAGAGGGATTTCAGCTTCCTCCTAAGCGGCCGCCGTAGGTTGAATAAACCCTCTTGTTTTCACCTGGTTTTATCTCATGTCTTTGTAGAAACGGCTACATTTTCTTTGTGAAAGAGCAACTTACGGAGTCACGTGACCTAGAACCGGAGAGACCCACCAGAGACCTGATGCGGCATATCGGGACCATGTGGAACAACCTTAGCAACAGCGAGAAACAAGTAAATCTAAACCTTTCCTTTAGCCCACAAAAAGCCACTTATTATTATATAGTACACTATACCATTTACAGTCGTGTTGTTTTACACTGTTTCCTAGAGGTATAAGCTGATGAGTGAGGTAAAGTTGAAGCAGTGGGCAATGGAATACCAGGCATTTCTGGAGACGCAGCCTGATAAGGAAGAGTATCTCAGACAGCTCAAAGAACTCAGAGGGTTAGTCGATTTGGACAACTCTTTCGAGGAGTTTGTCAAGGGAGCAACTTTTCGTAGTTTTGATGCTGTCTAAAATTTTTTCCCTGCAAAATTTTATGGGGAGGGTTTACTCACTTTTATATCAACTTTCCTGCTATTCAGTATTATATTATATACAAGCTGAGCTTGTACGTGACAAGGTTTTATTCGCGGTATGTTTAGGGAGAGAAGAAAGCATTTGAAGGTGTACAGAGCAAAGAAGCACCGGAGACTAACACAACCAGTATGTATATGTCCACGCACACAGCTGTGTGTTGTACTAATGTGATGCATGGCTCTATGGTCGTCTCCAGCCAAGAAAGTTGTCTGCCTACAATATCTATGTGAGGGACCAGTTGGCTGGTGCCACACAAGATGAAATACAGGTATATATATAAATCAAACCTCTGAATACGAGATACCTCCTTATTCAGCGGTGGCCTGGTGTCCTTTATACGTAATGTCCTTTTTCAAAGGGAACTCTCAATAACAGATATCCTGAATATACCGTGATATGATTCTTTCTGACGGCTATAGGCCCGATTCACTGATGCTGCTCAATCATGGAAAACATTATCAGACGAGGAGAAAGCAGTGAGTGACCATGATTCTATGTTCCCCAGACAGAGCATATTGTTAGAAGTACTGTAGTCCATCTGTGTGAGTGTGGGTGTATCTAAATATTACCCACAGGAGTATGAACTGGAGGCAAAGCAGATACATGATCACGAGATGGAAGAGTACAACAATCGAATTCAGGCTGTCTGACAATCGAAGTGCCTCTGCCTGCCGGCCCTGCTGCATTCACCCCAATATCATCATAACCTCTGATTGCTTGTCGATTCGCCTTGTTTCACGATCACTGTTGAATCATTCCGGTACCCAGCGCCGCAGACCTCCACGCATGCGCACATGGAGCGTGTGAAGGCGGGGGGCGCGTTCGCGCGATGTGCGATCACATGATTGAGGGCGCAAGGGATTCTCGATTTTCTGAGGTTTCTGTGCCAGTACAGTGAGCAGTATGGCTAGTCTTGCAGCGGTGTGTCTGCTGTTGTTGGCCGTTGCAACCGTCGCCGTGACGGCGAGCGACGACAAGATATACGTGCACATTGTCCCGCACACCCACGATGACGTCGGCTGGCTCAAGACAGTGGACGAGTACTTCTATGGAGGTTACTGAGCCAATTTTTGTGCAGTCTGTGTCTTTGATTTTGTGTCGCCGCGTTAATTAAAAGTCTCCTGGTTGTAAACGGCTTGTAAATACCTATGTAGCATGTTTGCAGCAGCAGCAGAAGCAATTGCAAGTACCGGCGCTTTTGTGGCCGCACGTGTGCGCACGTTGGCTGGGCTTCTTGCTGCTCTCTCTGCACAGTACCACGTTTTGTCTCGTCGTGTCCAGTATGAGTATTTGTGTCTCGCTATGTAGCTAGCTAGCATCGCTCAAAATACGGGTCGTATAATGTTTTTTCCCCTCCAGCTCACCTCTTCTTTTACCTCTTATTTTCTACCTACATAACACTCGAGAAAAATATCGCTATTTCCTGCTGTTGCTTCTGATCTCCCTGCAGCAAACAACTCGATCCAGCATGCCGGGGTCCAGTACATTCTGGACACAGTAGTCGACGAGCTGCAGAAAAACCCAAACAGGACCTTCATTTACGTGGAGATGGCCTTCTTCGTGCGATGGTGGAACGAGCAAACCGACGAAACAAAACAAATCGTAAGTTCTCAAGAATGATCAGCTAGATATTTTAGTCTGTTGTGAAAGTGAAAGTCGGAAAGCTGTTTCACTTGCTCTGTTTTCTCTCCATGCTAAACTGTCCGCTGCAAACCAACTGCGAACTCGAGTTGCTGTTTCCAGATTCCTCGAAACTCTTGTGAAGTTCGAACTCTCGTTCGTCTGACAGCTGCTCGATCTTTATTCCCTCCGCGGGTCCTCCGGTGGTAGAGATTGCACTTGATGCCCCACTGGAATCGACCACTATCTCTTTCACCGGGATGTCCCTCTGGATTGTCAGCTTCCAACGCGTGTTTGGAGGCATCTTTATCTTCACGCTCTTTTCACTTTCGTTAATGTCAGCTGCAAAAGGAATATGAGTTACAGACCTTCTGGGCTCATAATACCAACGAAGTATATAGCACTTCAATACTATGCCATTGCTTAAGAAGTGTATTGCTCTTCCTCTTGGAATCTGACTAATACAGTGAACCCTGAAGCTAAAGCCACCCCTTGCAATAGTGTTTCCCCATTTGCTTCTTAAAAAAACTACCTATTCCGACTGTATACACAACCTAGGACTCACCCTGCATCTTTGGGGCTGTGGATAATTTCTTTGTGACTCAACTGACTTGTTTTGCCTTCACGTCCAGTCTTTTATGAGGACTAACGCTGTAGATGCATGCGTAGCACATAGCGCTGTTTCTCCATTCACACTGTATGCCATGCGTGTGTAGTTGCAGCTGTAGCTAAGTGCTGGCCTATTGATCATGTTTCAATAGATACAAGTCATGTCATCTTTTGCCACTTCTGCATGTTTGGTATAAAGAAAGGTATCGGTAATGTTTCAGTGTGTACATCTTTCTGCCTCTCTCCCTCTCTTCAAACTCTCCATCTCTTGAATCTTTCAAACCCTCTCTCTTCTCTTTTTTTCCCCTCCCTCCCACTCACACGTGTGCAGGTACGTAAGTTGGTGACAGAGACCCGCCAGCTGGAGTTCATTAATGCTGGATGGTGCATGAATGATGAAGCTGCCACAGACTACAATGCCATCATAGACCAGATGTCAATCGGACTTCGATTTGTGGAGGAAAATTTCGGACCTTCGGCTCGCCCGAGAGTCGGGTGGCATATTGATCCATTTGGTCACTCGTCGCAGATGGCCTCCATACATTCTCAGGTAGGGGAATCATGCAACCTATTATAGTGGTTTAGGAAACTTATGAGGTTTGTATTTTAACCCTTTCCTCGCCAGTTGTACTTCATTTAACCCTTCTCTCCCTTGCCCTCCCTAGACATATCTTTAACCCTTAGTCTCCCCTGTGAGTGTGGTATTCCTTACTCTATGGCACGTAATTTAATCCTTTGGTATTAACCCTGACCATCCCGTGGTCCGTAATTTAACCCTTTCTCTCCCTCTCTTTCAGTTGGGTATGGATGGGTTCTTTTTCGCTCGTATCGACTACGACGACAAGAACCAGAGGCTGAGTGATAAGACCATGGAAATGGTCTGGCAGAGCAGTCAGAGCTTGGGGGCCGCTGGCGACATTTTCACGGGGGTCCTCTACTATTTCTACGGCCCCCCACCGGGGTTCTGCTTCGATGTGAGGTGCTCAGACCAACCTATCCAGGTGGGTATAATTATAGGGTTAAACTGACAAACAACAGAATTGGCAGTTTTCAGTTACCATTACACCCGTTTACATGTAGCTATTCTTTTTGAAAGTGCAAATTTACACTTTGAATATCCAATTATTTTAACACTACAAAAATTATGCATCTTGAATGTTTGTTACCCCTCCCTAAGTATGTACACCCTGAAATGAGGACCCTCTTCTTTTAAGGACGCCTTTTCTCTTGTCAAGAACAGTTCTTATGGCCCGGAAACAAGGACACCTCACTAGCATGGACACTTTCTTCTGTCCGATTGGTGTCCGGATTAGAGAGACCTCCATTGATGTTGTGTAGATTGATGAGGATCTAGCTCGAGTCATGGATGGGCTGGCAGCTGAAGCAGCCACTGGCATTCACTCCACAAAAAAACAGAGAAACGCCCTGTGTGCATGCAATTCAACCCCTGAAACAAGGACACCTCACTAGCATGGACACTTTCTTCTGTCCCATTGGTGTCCGGATTATAGTGAATAAACTTGTATTTTCACCAACCATACACCTGTGTACCATCGCAAGGTTGCTACCTTATATATAGCCCTTATGTAATGCACACAGGATGACCCTAAACTTTTTGGGTACAACGTGGACGGGCGTGTGGCCAGTTTTGTGAAAGCAGCTCAGGAGCAAGCGGCTCATTACGCCTCAAACCACATTATGTTCACGATGGGCTCAGACTTTAATTACGAAAATGCTCTGGAGTGGTACAAAAACCTGGACAAGCTGGTTCACTACGTAAACAAAAAAATGGTGAGATTTTCATGATGTTCTCTCTCTTTCTCCCCTCTCTCTCTCCCTCCTCCTTCTTCTTCTCTTCTTCTCTTCTTCTCCTTCTCCTTCTCCTCCTTCTCCTTCTCCTTCTTCTTCTCCTTCTTCTTCTTCTTCTTCTTCTTCTTCCTTTCTCTGTGTTGTGTGTATGTAATGCAGGACGACCCTAGGTTGGAAGGGTACAACGCTGACGAACGGGCAGCTCAGTTTTTATTTCTCATAAGGGAACAGGCAGTTTTCTATCCCTCAAAACACATTATGTTAACAATGGGCTCAGACTTTAATTACGAGAATGCTAGGAGAGAACTTTAAGAACCTGGACAAGTTGATTTACCACACAAACAGACTTTTCGTGAGTGAAAAACTTCATAACATCGAATTTAGGAGCCTTTAATGCTTAATTTACAGTAGAATTTGTAAGATGTTGGTTTCACCCTCACGTAGAACAAGTTTTGTGTGTGTTCAAACTTCACCTCGCGCATGTTCACTTCATCGGTACTCGCTATTTTCTTCTCCCAATAAAAACACGCAGGTTTGGGGGCTTTAGCAAAGCCTGTAGAGTAGCATTGAGATCGGTCTGTCGTGTCCTGCAGTTCAGTTTCTGGCAGCGAGATAGGTGTTTCCATGCCTAACTGGAACCTATGAACACTGTTAAAGTGAAATACCTGGATAATATGAACCTCTTTGAAATCCCCACGCATTATAGGACTAATACTGATTTATAGTGAAATTTAACATTTTTTGATGGTCCCTGGAGTTCATATTATTAACGAGGTTCCACTGTATGTAGGGCGGACAGGCTTCGAGTAACATGTTTGGGGCAAATTGTGCGGAATTTACGTATTTGTGTTGAATGAGTAGAAAGTCTAAAGCTAGGTTGTCATGCTAACTAACTGCTGTCCCAAAGGGTGATCAAGTGGAGGTGTTCTACTCGACTCCGTCGCGCTACCTGGACGCCCTCAACAAGCTGAATCTCACGTGGACCACAAAGACCGACGACTTCTTCCCGTACGCCGACAATCCACATTCCTTTTGGACAGGTATATATACCTTTTCAATATATCGGTTCTACTTATAACTTATTGTCGACTTGAGTGTGTATCTGGTTCGTGCGAGTGCTGTTAAAAAGAATTTTCACTCTCTCATTTACATACAGTAGCATTGATTTCTATGTAGTCCGTGCCAGCACTCTGAAAAATAAGTTCTGCAGCGTAGAGCAGCATATTATGTTAATGCATAATATTGCCTATTGAGCCCTGCCTGCCAAGCCGCCCTTGCAGTACAGTGGGTGGAACGCTCTGCTAGAGACAAGAGTGTTGTGGGTTCGAGTCCCACCTAGGGCAGCTCTTTTTCGATTGAATAATGTATTGTTGTGTGTTTAGTTGATATATGCCCTCCACACGGCATGATCTAATGCTACATCTGCCAGGCTATTTCACCAGTCGACCTGCACTGAAGGGCTACACCAGAGTCTCCAACAGTCTCCTGCAGACCTGCAAACAGGTGGAGGTTCTGGGGGAGAGTCCGACACTACATCGACACACTCAGGCTTCCTCCGTCACTCTCGCACAAGCGATGGGCGTCGACCAACATCATGACGCTGTCTCGTAAGAGAGAGGGATCGGGAGAGGAGGGGAGGGGGGAGGGGGGGCATAGTCTCCAAGTTAGTTCACTTCAGCATCATCTGAGCAAAATCACTGGGGAAGGGGGATTATGTATGAGCAGTGATGGGCAAATATTTTCCCTTTAATAATTGTGGTATAACTAATTTTTTACCACATGATAAAGGATGTAAAATTATTGAGTAGAAAGTATTTTCACCGCTGTGTTCAAAAATCCAAAAACATTTTCAGAGGAACTGAGAAGCAGCACGTGGCTGACGACTATGCCCGCAGACTGCACGTGGGACAGGTGGAATGTCAGGTGACCCTCACATGATCGTCACGTGACACATCACACTACGTTTTGTCAATTACGTAGAAGCTGATAAATGACGTTCTGATGGCATTCCTGACGTCCAGCGGTACCCAGTCGCCGTCGTTTGAGTTCTGCGAGTATCTCAACGTGTCCTACTGTCCAGTGACTGAGACCAACTCGGTTAGTCTCGGGAACTTTTCTAGTCTCAGGGGTCAGGGGTCAAAGAAATAGTGATTAATGTGGTCAGAATACCTTAACCCATTGTTCACTGTGGGTCAATATGTACAGTGTACACGCCTGTCTTTCCCCAGCTATTGTTCTTGCATGCAATTTCACAGCATCCCCCCTCCCCCGAATTTCTAGTTCAATGTGATGGCGTACAATCCTATCGGAAGGACAACCGTAGTTGTCTTGGGTTTCCCGGTCACCAGCGATTCTATTGAAGTTTTGGACGAAACTGGCAAACCGATTACAGCACAGGTTTGTGTAGCTTAGCTTGAGTTGTGAGTTGTAGAATCTCTACTGGTTTTGGGAAGGAAAGCGTCAGGAAGTCCTCGGTAGTATAGTGGTAAGTATCTCCGCCTGTCACGCGGAAGACCCGGGTTCGATTCCCGGCCGGGGAGTCCTTTTTTCTTGTTCACTCCATTTTTTCCTCTTTTCTTATTTACTTTTTCTCTTTTTTCCTCTTTTCTTGTTTACTTTTTCTCTTTTTTCCTCTTTTTTTTCTCTTTTTTTACTCTTTTCTACTGCAACTTACACTCAACTACCCAAAACTGTATTACAACAATGATTTTTTTCAGCTGATACCGATTTCTGAGGGAACCAAGAAGGCTCGTGGGTAACCGTGGAGAGGCATTGTACGACCTCCTGTTTCCGGGGTTACTGCGTCCCTTGGGTTCAGACTTGTTCCTCGTTCGTCCGACTAAAAGTGGGCGTGGCACATCCACGGTGAAGTCGAGGGAGTATGTGCCAGAACCAGGGGCTGACTTCACTATTGATAATGGGGTAAGGATGTTTACATTGGTTATATTGCCATTATACATACATTGTATTGTCTGTCCATGAATTTCATACAGTTGAATTGGAATAGTGAATATGGAATACACACACACACACGTGCTTGCTCCAATGAATAATGAATCTCCACTCCAATGAATACTTTTACCTTAGCACATGTAATGAATAGCGTAGCCGCTATAATAATTATGCATAATCAGTTCAATCTCATTTGTAATACTCCTGTGGAAATTACAGAATACTCACAATGACCTAGTTGAATACATCACTCTACGGAAATTGCTAACCGCAGGTGATGACCCTAACGTTCAGTGGAGCAACTGGACGACTGATGATGATGGAAAACAAAGTCAGCAAAATCTCTGCGAAAGTGGACCAGAACTTCCTCTGGTGGAACTCGAGTGCCGGTAATAACGTCAACTCTACCCAGACATCCGGTGCCTACATCTTCAGGCCTAACGGGACTGCTCCTTTCGAGATCAACGGGAGCATTGCCAAGACTAAAGTCATCGATGTACGTGGTGAATGGGAGTAAGGGAAAGAGTTTTTAAGGGGAATGAACCAATTTAGAAACTGCTACTTAAAACCGACACTTATTGCATTCTTTCACTGGACCCTATTGCTTAGTTCTCCAATTTTTGCCCATACTCAATTTGTGCCTCGTTGCATATCGTCTCTTTTGTTTAATGTACTGCCACATCCCTTTAAGTACATTGTTTACATTATATCTAGGGTCCATAAATAAGATGTCGATAAAAATCTAAATGCCGTGTCTCTATATCTTTACGCAGGGTCCCGTATTTACGGCAGTGATACAAGAGTGGGCTCCATGGCTATACCAGGTGAGTAATACCGATTTAAACCTAATTATATTTTACATTATGAGGGTATGTTTACAGACTATCAGCCTTCTGAAAACTCCGGCATCTCCAACTGCCATTTTCTCTTACATCGTGGGCCCCATCCCTTTCCAGTAAGTATGTATTTACCTTCTAAAGGAGAAAGAGCGAGACAGAGAGAGAGGGAAAGGTATTCACATGTATGCATAATTTATGCAATTAATGCTACATAGTATGCATCATGAGTTGGTACTTGAAGGCCATCGATATCAGGAGCGGGTAAAGAAGAGGAGAGCCTCAGAGGTTTGCAGAATGCTGGGAAATAGAGGTTTGGTAGCATTCCAGCAAACCAGCACATTGGAAACATTACAGCTACTGTACTGTACCTGAAGAGGTTGGAAGAGAGGAGAATTAGGGGAAACCCCCAGGTCTTGGATGGGAGGTGTGTCAAAATCATCAGGTGATGGAGCCCTGGGCTGCGGTGTCCGTCATAAGATAGGAATAGGTACAGCGAGATAGAGTATGCCACTATTCCATAGTCCAACTGTTGTCAAAGTATTAAGGATAGTTAGTTTGTCTCTTCTTGCTCTCCTGTTCGTATAAGAAATGCAAAATCGTTGACACCCTCATTTGGGAGGACGGCTAAATTTGGGCAAGATGGGAATAGGTGCAGTGAGATAGAGTATGCCACTATTCCATAGTCCAACTGTAGTCAAAGTATTAAGGATAGTCGGTCTATCTCTTCTTCCACTAATGACCTACAAAAAATGCAAAATCGTTGACACCCTTATTGGGGGCTGGGTGTTGGATTGGTACTGGGACATTACACATGGGCTGAGTGCAGTGGTTTTCAGCCTTCTGAAATCTCCGGCATCTCCAACTGCCACTTTCTCTTACATCGTGGGCCCCATCCCTTTCCAGTAAGTGTGTATTTTCCTTCTAAAGGAGAAAGAGCGAGACAGAGAGAGAGGGAAAGGTATTCACATGTATGCATAATTTACGCAATTAATGCTACATAGTATGCATCATGAGTTGGGTGAGTAAGTAGCAGTAAGTGTTTGTGTAATTGTGCATACAGTGAATGCTTCTCTCTCTTGTCTCATGTGCATCCATGTGAATACAATTCCCCCCATCCCTTCTCCCTCTCTCTCTCTCTCTCCTGTTTCACTCTTTTCTCTCTCACTTGCCTCTTCACTTCCTTCACCGCTCGTCTCCCTCCCCCAGGGATGGGTTGGGTAAAGAGATCATCAGCAGGTTCACTACTGACCTCAACACAAAGTCAAAGTTTTACACTGACTCCAACGGTCGTCAGATGTTGGAGAGAGTGTGAGTTCATCAGTTCTTGTAATGCAAGGCAGCTGCCAAGTCAATGGAAAAAGTCTATAACATACTAGCTCAGTATATAGGCATTGTTTTAAGTCTGCAGAGTTGCACTCCATTATGTGACACAGAAACCTGTAACTTTATGCATGGTCTTGCAATTGCAGCTGGACAGATTGTATTACCAGTAGTTAACCAATGATGAAACTCTCTTATTTTCCTTCGTCCCTGCAATCAGGACTAGAAAACTTGTGTATACATACTGTATATACAACGTCCCTTTTATGATGTTGTCGTTCCTGTCCAGTCGAAATTACCGACCGACGTGGAAGTACAATAACACAGAGCCAGTCACCGGCAACTACTACCCTGTGGACAGCCGCATCTTCATCAAGGTAGACTGGCTATATGATGATTTCACATTCGTAACGCACAATGTGCTATGAGATCTGGTATACTTATCTGTAGGATGAGGATCGTGGGGTTCAGTTCACGGTCATGAATGACAGAGCTCAGGGTGGGTCTTCTCTCAACGATGGACAACTGGAGCTCATGGTAGGATGCCCCCCTCCCTCTTGTCACCCTTTCTCTTCTTCTTCTTCTTCTTCTACTACACTCCTTTTTCTCCTTACTCCATTTTATTTCTCCTCTTACTTTCCTTCTTCCACTTCTTTTTCATCATATTCTTCTCCCCTCCTGGTGAAGCAAAAAAAGAAAAAATTCTATGTTTCTCCACATGCTTTTTCCCTTTTCCCTCTCTTTTTGTTCCTCTGTTAAGTAACCTCTGATTTTTCATTGTTCATTCTCCTCCTCAAGGTCCATCGTAGGACTCTCTACGATGATTTCCGAGGCGTGGGAGAGCCACTGAACGAGACAGGTCAGACCGGAGAAGGTCTCATCATCACTGGAGTCCACGTCGCCATTCTCGACAACTTTGTCAATTCTACCATCTACCACAGAATTATAGGTGAACAGTTCTCCATAATAATGATAATGCAGGAAACTTGCGAGGTTCATAAAACTTTCATAAATTTCATGAGCAATCAATGAAAAAATTGTGGGTTGGTATCGGATGGCAAAAATTTTCTGAGCATTCCTATACACAGATTGATGAAAGTTTTCTACTTAAATGCCATAATTATCAATGCAGCAAAAATGTTGCGCAATCAAGTATTACTTCATAATTATATATGCACATACCCTGGCAAAAGCATTGTACAGTAGAATTCTTATGAGGCTGAGCTACATATGTAATGCTGCAATACAGACTTCAGAGCTGTGTATTATTCCATGTGTGTATGATCTCTCATCCAAAAGGGGAGGATCTTATGCTGAGGCCGCAGTACCCCATAACTCCTTCAAACCTCTCGTATGCAGACTGGATCGGCAAGTATCCATCCTATGTAAGTACTACGCAATAGGTCACTATGAAAACGCTTAAGGGGCTCAGTGTATGACATTTAAGGCATTCTCTGGCTCAGTTTATGGCTCAGTGTATGTGCACAAAAACACAGCACTCCGTGTGAAGCATACCAGAGTGTAAGGGGCATACCCTAGACCACTGTCCGCTGATTTCTCTGCTTCTTCCCTTGGTACATGCATGATGTACAGAAAATCTTGTGCTATATATGTTTGTGGGTTTTCTGTACTATAGTGGGTGTAGATAACAAGGTAAGTGTGCTGACAATGCAGGCAAAATGCAACCATGTGTTGTGCATTAGAGTCCCATGGGTTGACAGTTTGTAGTATACTTATGTATACATGTGTATGTACAGTCCATGGGTTGACAGTGTACTTATGCACATGATCGGTTGGGTGGACGGTGACTTGGGTTGACAGTGACATGTGTATGTACAGTTGGTTGGGTTGACAGTGACTTGTGTATGTACTTTTTTTCTCTTGGCATCACATGTTCTAATACCTTCATGTATATGTACAGTCGGTTGGGTTGACAGTGGATCTCCCACTAAACGTCCACCTGCTAACACTGGAGAGACTAGACCACACCCACCATCTACTGAGACTGGAACATCAGTACCCTATCGATGAAGCCCCTCTCAACACCACCGCCAATGTCACTCTGGAGGTGAGCCTTTTTCTTGATATCTTATCTCTCTCTCTCTCTCTTTTCACCACCTTTTTAAACTCACTGGTACCATGCATGGGTCCAATTTAACATCATTAAAGGGTAGATTATATAAGTTGGATAATCTGCACACAGTATAATATACGTAAAGGTGTAGGAAAGATGTGGTTTTTTGCTGTGTGCTATAATCATTTACGTAACCCTTTGTCTTTGCTCCTATCATTAAAGAGATTGTGGCAACTAGATTTATAAACTGCTACTGAAAATGGAAGCCTAATTGCTGTCTTGCACTGGACCCTATTGATTAGGTCCATCTGTCCAAAATTGGCCCTTAGGGTTAGAAAAGAGACTACCGGCATACTATCACCAGAGAGGGTAGGGGCAACAGATCTGGTGGCTACCTGCCATAATGTGAGGTCCACCTTTTCAGTATTTCAACATCTGTCTCTGTATGTATGTATGTATGTAGGAGTTGTTCCAGGAGATGAAGGTGGTTGCGGTGGTAGAGCTGGGACTGGGAGGCAACGCCCTTCTATCTGACATACACAGACTCCACTGGAACACCGCCTCCTCAAGGACACGTATGTTTTTTCCAGTACAACTTCTGAACAAGGGACACTATGGGGCCAATGGTTGTGTCCTTTTAGAGAGGCTGTCCCTATCTCAGAGGTCGAATAACACACTAAAGCAAACAGAAAGCGAGAGACCTGAACCATTGAACATATAATAAACGAACCCACAAAATGTGGTCACTTTAGCAGGAAATTCCAGTTAGCTATGGCCTCCCCTTCGGAGTGCATCTGTTGTCTTTGAATTTGTAGGCTACTGTATTTTTGTTGTTTGTGCACTTCATGGCTGTAGGTGGAGGAAGAAGGCCAACAGAGAAGCTGTCTCCTCCGTTCACCATTGAGCTAAAGCCAATGGAAATCCGCACCTTCAACATCACCGTTACCTACTACTGATGACTTTCACTGTCAGTATTGTGGTTATTGGAACTTTGTAGTGACTGAACTTCGTAAAAACCCTGTATACATGTATGCATGGTATAGTAATGAGATTTTCTGTAGTATGTTTGTTGTCCATCTAGTAGAGAAATGCGATTTGTTGTCCATCTAGTAGAGAAATGCGTCGAGTACGAGTTTCGTAAAACTGAAAATTCTGTCAAGTAGATGTAGCATAGCATTTGTGGTAAACAGAAGTGCATAATGATACACACACTAGGATTTTGTAAGAGCTCAGTAAACAGTATACTTGATGCATTCCAAACAAATGTCCCCCTATTAGGCGTAAAATCACCACATCTGAACATAATCCTGCGTATATAGCCACGATCCAAAAGAGAGGGTCTGGTCTCTCCGTTTACGTGAGGGGTGTGGCTACGCGAGACTATAAATTAGCGCGCACGATTCCAAGAAATGACACCACGCGAACTTCTGCTCACACTATAAAAGCACTCAAAAGCTTAGTCTGGTCGTACGTGTGTGCGGAGGCAATCATCGCCTGTATATATGCTCCTCCAGCAGTGCGACTCCAATGCGCTGTTCAATCGTCCTTATCTTTCTGCCGTTACTGTTCCCCGCGCAGGATCCTGAGCGCTGGGGAGTTGCGTTCGCCGGTTGCTGGGACGCAACCTCCTCGGCTCGTCTGAGGCGGCGGTGGAGAGTACGCAGACTGCGGAGGCAACCGGCTTTCATTCTGCAGGCCTGCTGGACGCGTCGTTCGGCTCAGGCCGCACGACGGAGGCCGCGGTGATCAGAAGAAGGCGATCCGAGCCAGCTGAGATGGTGATCCCAGCCCGCGAGCACGAGTCCTGCGTATGGACGGCCGCTGCTCTCGCAGCAACCTGTGCAGGAGCAAGGAAGCACGAGTCCAGGAAGTAGTCGACTGCTGCACATGCGAGCGGTGCGGAGCGAGCGCGGTCTAACCGAGCCCATGGGTCGTCGGTGGACTCTGCAGAACGGGTATTTCCAGACCCGTCGAATACACGCAACAGAGCAAGGAGTATCCAAACCCTGCTCAACTGGTCAAATATGACATCTTTGTTAAACCACCTAGCGATACTTTCGATGTGATGGATGTTGCAAAATTGATTATATCTGTAAGGATAAAAATGTAATAGCTCGCTAATGTTCAAGTTGAATCCCCTGGAGTTGTACGACATACGGACTGTGTGTTTGGCAAATGTTGCTATGGACAGCACTCATTTTGCAATGTAGTCTCACGTGTGGCAAAAAGAAGAAACATCATCCCATATTATGTCGAGCCTACGAACAATCTGGACAAGAGGCTACCAGCCTGCTGCACAGAATGACACTGAATATAGATATCATGATCTGTGCCTATATACAAACGACATTACTAGTATACATAAGGTAAATTTGATTGGAGTGCAATAACTAGTCATGTATATAAGAGTTAGTGTGTGATGGAGGGAACATACTCAAACATGTATGTGGCGTGAAATGTGGACTGTCACTTTGTACCTGACCACAGGTAGGTATGAGAGTGTCATCTTCGTTCTGCTCACCTGCCACTGAGACATACCAGTATGACTGGACGAGAAGTCATGAACATTCAATACGTTCATGCATGCAGCTCCAGGTGATGATTAGCTGGTAAATTGATGCAGTGCCGGGACAGTTGAACCAAACAAGATTTTTTCTCTTAAGACCAGGGGTATTACGGACATGATTGAAAGGAGGCCTCATTCTCTGAAAATTTCTTCTAGAGGCAAGGGTCTCGGGAGTGTCTTGCGTGACTGCCAAACAAGCTGGTTCTTCAGCTGCTGCAACACGCATGTCCAGTTCCTCGTGTGCTCTGTACTTACTCATGATAGAGAGCGAGAGAGATTTTTAAACCCATTGCCTATTAACCTCAGGTCATGCAAAGTTGGTAAGCCAATGATTCAAAGCACAAACTATTAGCTATATTTTACATGCTAAGCATCAGGGTTCAGTAATTGTTGGTTCACATGTTTACTACTTTGTTGCAAGCTGAGGTTACATACATAAACCACAGTGTTACTGTATAAATACATAGCCAGGAACACTTAAGCGCCTCATACAGGCCATCCCAGTAGAGCAACAACTGCAGCCACGGACCTTCGATGTTACGTTCTCACTCACAGTTTGACCTGCAGTTGTGGGTGTGGGGGATACAGATCACATGATCTGACTATTATCAGCATTCAAAGGGTGAGAGAGAATGAGAATAAGAGATATTTTAGTTTGAACCTGGGATTTTGTACGCCATTTGACCAATTCCCTGCTTATGCAACTTTGAATAATATAGGGAATTGCATGGATAGGGGGTTGTTCTGATGGAGTATGTGTCAATTTGCATGCTCCCTTGCTTGTATGGGGGTAGCTTGAATTGTTAAATGGACTTTCATAGATTGAGGTGGTGTTTTGTTGGTTGGGGTTGTTTTTGGTTGTTTGTTTTGGTGGGGTGGGGGGTGCGTGAATGGGTTTTGAATCAAACCCACAGGTTGATTGGGGGGAGGGAGGGATAAGGTGGAGGGTGTCATCGCCACAGCAGGAGCCTCGAAACGCTGGAATATTTCTCCTCTCCATCCTCCGGTGCACACGTCTCCTGCTATCTTCCGATATCTGCCATATGTGGGGAAAAGTGCAGTATATAACACCTGTTCTTGTTTGCAGTGTCCGAGTCATGCATGAATATCACCTAAAGACATGAATTTCATCATCCCAACAGCAAGATTTTTTTACCCTATCACAACATTCCATGAACACCTACAAACTCAGTGGGATGGTCTGCTGGTAAACATTGGATTAGTGATACCTAGATACATGCTATTGCATGTGGTAGTTATACTACTGGCCATGTAAGTCTTATTACACATGCTATTCTAGAGCACACTCACCCAGTGCTGTCCATGTAGGCTTATTCTTTCCACCGGCACAGGATGGGCAGTTCTTCATGGGCATGGTCTCTCATACAGGGAGCGTAGTAGTCATACATTGGTCGAGCAACCCATAATCACTGGTGGGGGAAATGGTAGGCATCAGTATAATTATCGTGACACATTTTTAGTCGTGAAGCATGGATATTCTGTCAAGAAAGCTATGTACGTATAGTTCCAGTATTGTACATGATAATACCCATGCAACCCATTGATCCATTCATTCCCATTGCAAGTGTATTATTCATAATCTCTCTCTCTCTCTCTCACGTGGCTGTGGGTCAAAACACTCACCATACACATTCTTAATAAGCACAGCTACTCACCACTCGTAGTCCTCACTGGTACAGTCACAGATGTGGTAGTCAAACTCCCGGTCGTAGTCTCGTCCGTTGAGACAACAGATCTGAGGCTTTCGTCTCTCGATCGTGATGGAGCTCCCCAAAAGACACTGACTCTCTGTCCTCTGCAGTGACAAACAATACAGTTTGTTTGGACTATAATATATAGTAGGAATGTGTAGAGAGATGCTTTGCAATGAATGGGAGCACAATCAAAATTGAGCTCCCCAGAACACACATGCTCTGCGGGGACAATAATTTGGCATGCAGCTTTCTGCATGAGCAAACTTTGGCATGACTGGGAGCACAATGGAAGTATGTACATTTCTATTATCACACCCATACATCTGCATAAGAAACCTTTGTCGCATAGCTAAAAGCAAAAGTTGAACCCTCAAGTAAGAAAAATAAACCTCAAGTCATAAAATTTCCCTTCCTCAATTTCTTTCCTGCTGTACAGTACATTTACCTCGTCCCAAGGTCTCCAATCATAGTAGTCTTGGTCGTCGCACTGGCGGGGGAAGATGTTAGCAAAATCCACGGTAATGACGGTCCACTTGAAATCGTCCCACGAGCCTCCGTAGAAACTCATGATAGTGGTGTGCTGGCCTGGCTCCGTGACCACACCATAGATCGTGATATCAGTCTGGGGAGGGACGGAATATACATCATAAAGTGGTGACCTGATTGGGGAAAAGGGCCCTTATAAGTCATTTTTCACCGATATTGAGTTTCTAGGCTTATACTGCAGATGGAGCTTTCTTTTCTTTAGGAGTGATTGCTCACATGCTTGCTTGTGAGCACCAAAAAAAATCGGAAATGTTCCAGCATTCAGAACGAAGATACTTTCGACATCTATATATGATCCTGGCAACCCCATCAACAACGTGGTATTGATGCTGTTGGTTTAACGTTGCACTACATCGTAAACCAAAAGCATGGTCAATTACGTTAATAATACGCAACACATCTGCAACAGAAAAAATACTTCCTGCCCGGTCATGAATTACGACCACTTATCACATTTCCCAAGCCATGAATGTCCATAGCACAATCGCATAGCTTCCTTACCTAATACTTCCAGTTTGACTATGTAATTGCATGCCAAGCATAGCAATATTGACGACTGTTAAGATCCATGCAGGGATTCAAATGTGCATTTTATGTACGCAGGCAAAACAATACAGCACTGTCAATAATGAAAAGCACTAAAGTGCAAACCCTGTATTGCTTCATATGTAATACAGTGGAGTCTGCGTACGGAGCTGAGGTGAAATCCCTCCAGCTGTAGCCCTCGTGCAGCTGTACTTGAGGACCACGGACTGTTCTGGTGGTATGTCTTGGCGGCCACCATTAACCCTCCGTGATCTGCCAGGTTAACCCCCCAGCTCCCGGCGAGCGTCTGCTCCCACGTGACGCCGCCGTCGCGAGAGATGAACAGATCTGGGTTGGTACTCAGTTCAATACCAATGGTACCTGGACAGAAAGAAGGAGAAGATCACGAAACTACCCATCATTCTGATACATGCTATGATGCTAAGTACATCTCTTGCTACAAGTACTACTGTATAGACAGGCTTAATGCATGTAGTGTGGGCAAACAAACAGAGTTGAAAGGAACACAAATTCTGGTGCACCGCAATGAAGCCAAGATTTGTGTAGATTTACAGTGAAGCAATAAGGAAATTCCATACCTAATTCCATACCTAATTCCATACCTATACCATATTGACATCACAAATTTCCTCTATCAATACCCCACTGTGTGTTAGTATACATTGGTCAGTGGAATTGGTTGTAAACAATGGACTTATCCTTACAACCAAATTCCACAGGCCTGCTTTGTTAAGCAATCTCCATGCACAGATGGAGAAAATAATATTTTTAAGCTGCTTCCTTGCAACTTAGCGCCTACACTTTGTGTAGCAACACCTAATCTGTGTGCAGTGAGCAGTAGCCAGCGGTGTTATAGACGATTAGCAGCACATACTGCTGGTGTACAACATGGAATGCTAGCATGCATATACCATGTCTCAGTTTCCCAAATGAGACAGCAGGAAGCATTGAAAAGCCAGAAGAGTCTGGTGTATCAAAGTACAGTAGTGCTTAGTATATAGGGATGGGCATGGTACCTAGCATCATAGGTGTATGGGGCTATGATAGGGAGTTTTGTTCATCATCTTCTTCTTCAACCAGCATAACCAGCATGTGTTGTAATCACTTTAGCGGTATTAATATAGATGTCCCCTACCATGAGCCACAATAATCCAGGGCAGACTCGGTGGAGTAGATCCCAATCTGGCGTGTTGGTGGAGTCCATGTGGAGGTGGAGGGAGCAGTTTGGAGGCTCACAGTTTATTGTGTCGCATTTATGTCCTCGTCAGGAGGCGTCAAACTGCAGGGGCACACCGGATGATTGGTAAGGTAACTTTTCCGAAATTTACGAACACAGTGTGGCAGTGTGCCCACTATTACGAATATATTCATGAAAATAATATACTTCGGGATTTCAGAAGCTCTCTGAAATTTGCTGTCAGTTTTGTGTCAGGAACAAAATGCACTCACTCCCTCCCAGAATCCGCCATTTGTCCTGATGAGACGTACGACCGTTCTAATGGAACGATTGAGGCCAGGTCTGACGTGTCGTCTCTCGTGTACTGGTTGGCGACCAGTGTCCATTGAGACCTCAATCAATCTACAAATGATGAGTGGCCGTAGGAGTTAGACGAGTAATGAACTCCTTTGAGCTAGTTGAATGCTGTGAAGTGCATTTGGAGAATGCATGGCATGTGTGCGCAATTGGCATGTGTGAGTATATGTGGCTAGTTATGTTGTCATCGATTATGATGACTTTGGGAGTTTCCTTTTGATTTTTTAGGTTTTTATAGTCATTGTAAACAGCTGTGTATGGACACTAGCATATGGAGTGAGCAATTGCGCCTTTGTGCTGTTGGCACTATAAAACTATTTAGGTAGGGCTTTTTTGTAGGATAGTAATACAGCTGATGAACAAGATATTGTGTAGGCCACCGTTTGCACACTTATCAATAGATCTGTATATACAACAGTAATGCCTGGATGCCTTAAGTTCATAATACTCAGCTCCAGATCAATGTTGATGTAGTCGCTGTCAATGACAAGGTCTCGTGAGAGAGAGGTCTGTAGTAGGGACTCCGGACTCCATTCCGACAGTAGGAGATTGTAGAAACCTCCGGACGTGCTCCACTATCACTAGAGCGTGCACGCGTTGATATCGGTTATCACTAGAGGTAGTCTGGAGAGGGAGATGAGGGAGGGAGGAGGAGTAGTTTTGGGAGGAGTGGCATGTACACAGACATGTGTATTGCTGACATTGGAGTGCTCAGCACTAAATGTATAGCAAATGTGCTCTTCCTTTGTACTATTCTGTAGATAGACAGGATTGTGGTGCCATTGCCGTGTCCTGATGGCTATCTAATTAGCTACATTATATCATCCTTTAGGGGTAAGCTATTCAGTACCCATTGACACATAATTATACTAGCTAGGCTGATGAACATCACTTGCGATGTTCATCAGGTACATGTATCAGCCCGCTGACGGCTTGCGTACTGTCGCTCACATGCAGACCAATCATTCCGTCGTTCTGTCCGCTGAGGCCCACACCCCCCCCCCCCCCCCCCCCCCCCCCCCACCCCCCCCCCCCCCCCCCCCCCCCCCCCCCCCCCCCCCCCCCCCCCCCCAAAAACAAAGGACAAAAAGACACGCCCCTTTTTTTTTTTTGTTTTTTTTTTTTGTTGTTTTTCCCGGAATCGAAACCCCCCACCCACCTAGGTTTTATGTTGTTTGGTGTTGTATTTTTGGTTTTTATTGTTCTTTTTTTTGTGTAGTGTTTTCAGTTGTTGTTTTTTGTTTGTTTATTTTTTGTGTGGTCTTGATTTGTTTTTTTTTTTTTTTTGGTTTATTTTTTTGTTTTGTTTTTTTTATTTTTTTTTTGTTTTGTTGGATTTGTTTTTTGTTTTGTTTTGACTTTTTTTTCTTTTCCCCCCCCCCCCCCCACCCCCCCCCCCCCCCCCCCCCCGATAAGCGATTTAACGAATTTTTTACCGCCCGCCCTCCCCCCCCCCCCCCCCACCCCCACCCCCCCACCCCCGCCCCCGCTCCCCCCCCACCCGCCCCACCCCCCCCCCCCCCCCACCCCCCCCCCCCCCCCCCTCCACCGCCCCCCCCCCCCCCCCCCCCCCCCCCCCCCCCCCCCCCCCCCCCCCGCCACAGAGCCCCCGCCCCCACCCCCCCCCCCCCGCACCCCCACCACCCCCACACCCCCCCCCCCCCCCCCACCCCCCCGCCCCCACCCCCCCCCGTCCCCCCCCCCCACCGCCGCCCCCCGCCCCCCAGCCCCCCCCCACCCCCCCCCCCCCCCCCCCCCCACCCCCCCCCCCCCCCCCCCCCCCCGACCGACCAACAAACCCATCGTGGTCTCCGAGGTTCTTATCCAACTCGCTAGATTCCCCCCGGTGTACGGGTAGTCCAGATACGTAAGGTTGAATGTATCATCCTCAATGTCAGAATTTGGGGGGGATTAGGGTCCTCGTTGTGAAATAGACCTCCCCCCCTTCCTATCATCGATCATCATCCCATGCTGCATCATCATCATCATCAACCCTTACACGGAAAGTTTTTTGTTGAGATAATTGTATATATACAACACGTTATGTGTGCATACCATAGCAATAAATACACATGACGGAACATTATTGTATTATAAATCATTCCCCAAACATAGATATAGCTAGACTATCTAACTGCCTACCACTGGGAGAATGCACGTTTCTTGGACTTCTTTCAGTGTCTTGCCATAGTCCTCTATCAATTACAGCTGCAGGAAAAACAACATTTTTATGTCGCTCAAACGTAGTAAACCCTACCTCCACAATACAGTGATTGTATTTGCAATGCATTTCATTACTGTTCTCTGCCGCCTGCCTGACCTTTCGAACGTTTGGTAAAATTACCAAATTGGCAACTGAACATTTTATCCCACATTGATCACGTGTAAACAGGAACTAAAAGTAAACCACGTGTATGTACTATAAACTGAAAATGAAACTAGCTATCTTCCCCACTGACTGTGTTTCTCTTCTAGTTGAATCTCTCATAACATCCAGCCATCTCTAGTAGGATGGTAAGCAACAGTTGTAGTAAGAGGGTCGGAGGGTCGAGATCTACTGTAGTAAATGTTTGCTCCCTTGTTCGTTGGAGTAGATAGTTTGGACTCAGTATAATGGAAATTCAACTGTGGTTTAGAGGGAAAGAGAGGGGAGGAAAGAGGAGGGGGAATAGAATGGGAGAAAAAGAGATGGAGGAACAAGGGAGAGGGAGACTGAGTGTGCTTGCTACAACACCCATCTAACACTATATTAGGAAGTCCACACCAATCCCACAACCACACACACACAACACACAACACACCACAAGTCCACACAACGACACAACACAACAAAAACACAACAACAAGCAACACAACAAACACCCAAAACAACAAACAACACATGCCATCCTCCCACCCCCCCAACCCACCCCCCCCTCCCCCCCCAGCCCCCGAGGAGGAGAGGCCCACCCCCCCCCCCCCGCCCCCCCCCCGGGACCCCCCCCTGCGCAACACACGCCAGCAGCCCAACGACCACACAACCCAACACACCCCCAACCCCCACCCAACCCCACCCCACTCACTCCCCACCCTCCCCCCCCCCACCCCCCCCCACCGCCACCGGGTCTCCCAGCCTCCCCCCCCGGCCCCCCCCCCACCCCCCCCCCACCCCCCCCGCCTACCCCCCCCCTGCCCCCCCGCCCCGCCATCCGCCCCCCCATCCAGATCTCCCCCCCCCCCCCGCCCCCTCCCCCCCCCTTCCCAGGCCGTACCCCCCCGCCCGGGCCACCCGAACCTCCACCCCCGCCCCCCCCAGCCCCTCCTGCACCCCCCCCCCCACCACCGCCCCAACCACAGAAACCTCGGGACGCCACGATCGATAAGTAGCGAAACACAACACCGATGGCCCCAACAAAAAAATCACGCGCGTAGCGTGTCCCCCCCCATCAAACCCCCCACCCCCCCCCCACCCACAGTAGAATAACCAAGCGATACCAAGCAGGAAGTGGACATATACCAGCCAGAGTAGTGCACGTGTTACGACAGTATCACACCACAGAACACCCACAGCCACACACAACCACCGAAAGCCCGGCAGTCTCTAGTTGCATGAACAAGCAACTAAAGAGACACCGGGATCTCCACGCCAGTAGAAGGCGGGGGGTGAAGAGAGTGGCACGGCCGCCCACGGGGCCAGGGAGGTGAGGGAAGGTACGGCCAGAGTGAGGGACCGCCGGAATGGTCAAAAACGCTAGGCGCACACATACAGTACGCACAGCCGTGTAGGTTTCAGAGGGCAGACGAAAGCGCACACTCCGAATGAGAGATGCATGAGGAGAGTCGGCAGCATCATCACACCGGACACCACTCTGGATAGAGCGACACCTGTCGAGGGGCCGGACCGCAAGGTCGTGTATACCTACAACGCACTGCAAGGCAAGGCGAGGAGCCGTAGCTTGCGGGAACTAGATCCGCGTTATTTGCCTCAAATGCGCATGCGCAATCGGTTGAAGCACGTGGGCGGAGTCTTTGTGCATAATTGCGGCGGTTTGCGCACAGCTGTACGACGCTGTACTGGCGTGTTCAGCTGTAGTATTATAGTGTGGAGGTTTTCGGTACATAACGTTGTCTCTGTTGTCTCGTGTCTCTTTAGCTTTACAATCAAGCACTGTCCGAACATAGGGGCCATATTCCGACTGACGGTGGTTCGGACGGTGAGCGATCTTTGTGCCGCCGTAGCGTTACTATCCCTCTGCCGAAGCTGGTACTGTGCATGCCTGTTGAGTGATACCCTCTGAGGTACTGAACGTAGCGACGATAGCTAACTCTGTCTGGTCCGAGAGAAATGGCTGTGTCCGGGTGATGGTGTCCGATAATTGATGAGCTACTCTATATACCACACTTTTATGGACACCTCTGACCAGGCATCCGCGTTAATTTTGGGGCGGGGTTGAGCCACGTGTACACCCCCCCTTCTGGAGGGGCACAACGTTGTGCCTACCACAAGGGGACACTCCCGTCGTGTCTGGTTCCTCCAAAAGTAGAATGGGTGAGCATGAGTTACTTCTTGCTGCAACTCACTACGGTACATAGATCATGGAGCTCTTCCATGGTCGATCGACACTGGCTAACTCAGCATCAGTGAGCTGCGCGCATGCGCCAGGCATGGCGTTGTCCAATCCGCTGTGCGCGCAGGCGAGTTGACAGACCTGCAGAGGAACTCTCAGCCTCCAGTGCCTTCTGTAGGTAAGTGTGCACATTTCCAACTGGCTAGCTTGCTGTTGATTTGCACGAGGAGCAACTTGGCAGAGTCTGCGCGGTGTTACACCAGCCCTGTGGGGCGCCGGAATGGGCCCTCGTTGTTTGTCCCCCCAGGTTGTAGCCTGATTACCAAAGCCTGGCCATAAAACCACAACCATGTGCAATGACCTAATCACATCCTTGTTGAAGATAATACATGAGGTGATCTAGCCCGGCTTCAGGCACTAGCAGCTCATTAGCTATACTGCTCTCAGTTTGTCTATGGTAGCCTATCTACAACATACCCATGAACATCAGAGTCACTGTAGCAATAAATGCAGTGTTGT